AGAGTAGGCCCTAAGGTCTGGCTCTAGGAAAGGATCTTTAGGCCTATAGTATTTTGAATTAATCTGGAGTTTGGAAGGGCCTTAGTGACCTCATACAAAAATGTGGTCATTATAAAGTAATCCCAAATTTACTTGGTGTAATAATAAAAGAGCTGGAGCTCATATTCTAGAAAGGTTGGATCGGTGTCTTGTGAATTCTGCAATGAATTATGCAGCTTTATAAGCTATCCAATTGGCAGCTATTTGACACCTTGCTAGAATAGATTTAGATTCAATCTTATCTTAATTAGACTCTTCTCTTTAGGTTTTTGAAAATGTAGATATCTGAGGTTTGATGATGTCTGGGCATCCTACCCTGCTTCAACAATAATTATGTCCAATTCATGGGAGAAAAACTTTCAAGGAGATGTTGCTCATTCACTAAATCTAAATTTTAAAAGAGCAATGAGTGATTTATATTATTAGAGTAAATCCAAACATCAAAACTTGAATGTTTTGAAGGATCATGTAAAGAGAGAAATGTTAGAATTGCTAGAAGAAGAAGCTGAAGGTGGCGGCCTTTCTGAAGACAAACTATTGCTGCTAAAATCAAAGGTGCACGAGCTCAACTCTACTCTTGGAAGACTTAATACCTTCTTTTTTTTTTGAAGAAGTGCAGCATTTGCATTAATAGAACCAAGAAAAGAACTACATACAAGTATTCAAAGTATCACATTCCTTCTTGATCAAAATCATCAATATGGAAGGGATACTATCAAAAGAAAAACTATCAAAGGAAAAACTATTTTCCATTGCCAAAGTAGCACAACAATTACCTACTTTATTACAATATCTATGGGCATGATGGAAAACTACTTTATTAAAATCATTAAGGAACAAAACCTCATTTGTATCTCTACTATTAAGCGGCCAATTATTCTTTTTCAAAGAATCTTGAATGAAATGGACAATGTTGACATTATCACTCTCAATGATCACCCCCTTTCATTCCGTCATCCAGCTTTTAAGAAAATTCTTCACCCTAATGATTGCTTCCATTTCAAGTTGTGCCACATCCCAATGAATCTTCTTCTTGCCAAATGCACAAATAAGACATCCTTTATGATCTCGAAGACCCCACCAATACCTCCAGGATTAGAAGTAAGTAAAGAAGCATCTAGGTTGATCTTAATCCATTCTTTCGGTGGAGGGCACCAAGTGTTTGAAGACTCCCTAAGGAGGTTAGTACCCCAGCTAGAAAGATAAGGACTAGACTTGGAAACAACTAAAAATAATGCATTGGAAGCAACCAAGGACGCAGGCAATGCCTCCTTACCATGCATCACATAGTTTATGTTCTTCCAAGATAGATAAATGACCGAGCAATACAACTTTGCAATTCCAGAATTAGACGTTGAAAGCCTTTTAAGTTCATAAAGACATTTCTCCAAAGAGTTAAAAACAGGGATCATAATACCCCATTCTCGTACCTTCTTGATGATCACCACCATATACTTACAATGAACCATAATATGTTCGTAAGATTCCACCGCTTGGCATCCTCTATCACAGCTATCCATCAAAGAGATTCTATGGTTCCTAAGAAATAGGTTAGTTGGAATTGCAGCCTTGCCTAGCCTCCACCAAAAAATTTCAACCTTCTTACTTAGTTTGAGCTTCCGCAGCCATTTGAAGTATTCTACGTCATCAACATTATATCTGTCATTCAGCATTTGTTCATAAACTAGTGCAGAGACTGTTTTCCCTGAACACCACTTCAGCAACTCTATATTATCCTCCTCCACATCCTTGGTTCGGACTTGAACAATCAACAAAATTAGCTCTGAATGAAAGGCCCTACGAAGCAGTTCAAAATTCCAACCACCATTAGAAGTCAAAAGCTGCTGAACAAACATTCCTTCCAGCACATTACAGTCCACATAAGTTGGCCATCGTATGATGCTTTTATCCAGCAACTAAGCATCATTCAAAACACTGATTTTATTTCCCTTTCCAACCTTCCATCTAATAACATTCTTCAAATTTTTGCCCCCATCCAGCAATATCTTCCAAGCAGTAGACGTGATTAACTTCTGATCATCCTTCATAATCTCATCTCCATATATTTCTTTCAGAGTTTGGTGTAACAAAGAGTCCTGTTTTTGAATGAAGCTCCAATCCAATCTAGATCTCAAAGAGACAATTCTCAATAAAGGAGATTGCAAACCCAACCCACCCATACTTCTCGGCTTGCAAATTTCACTCCAAGCAACATACTGCATACCTTTAGACCCATCACTCTTATGCCATAAAAAACTTCTACAAAGTTTTTCTATCTCATACAAAACTCTTTTTGGAACCAAAGAGTGAGTTATTAAGAAATTTGGCATAGAAAGTAAAGAAGTTTCAATGAGAGCGAGCTTACCTCCCATTGATAAATACTTCTTACCCCAAGAATTGAGTTCGTCCATGACCATACTCAAGAGTTCTTGAAAATCCACCACTTTGCTTCTTCTAAGTGAGATCTTGACCCCTAAATACTTCATCTCCTTGACCTCCTTAAAACCAATGATTCTGGTAATCTTCTTCTTTAAAGGGTAGCTCACCATCTTGCCAAATAAAATTTGTGATTTGTTGATATTGACTCTTTGTCCTGTCCACTTGCAAAACTCCTCCACAATATTCTTCAATTCTTTGGCTGAAGTAATAGAAACATGAGACAAAATCAATACATCATCTGCATAAAGAAGATACGAGATTCTTGGACCTCTAGGTGAAATCCGAATACCAAGATTCTTCCCCCTTTGCTCCAAAGAATTGGATAAGAGTTGAGAGCACAGAATAAATAGATACGGAGAAAGAGGGCATCCTTAACGGAAGCCACTTTTAGCACAAATCCAATTGGAGTTTCTTCCATTGATAATGTTAGAAAACCTCACATCTACAACACATTCCATAAGGAGGTTAGAAAAAAGAGTAGGAAAACCATACCACTTAAGAACCTGATGAAGTGTTGACCAGCCCATACTATCATATGCCTGTTCCATATCCAATTTAAGAGCCATCAATCCCTTCTTATTCTTGGATAACTTGAACTTATGGAAAATCTCCTGAGCCAAAAGACAAAGCTCAGAAATGGATCTACCGGGAATAAAAGCTGCTTGTTCTTCATACACCATCTTGTCAATTTCTTTCTTTAATCTGTTGACTAACATGCTAGCCACAATTTTATAGTTGGTCTGACATAGGCTAATAGGCCTATAATTTGATGGAAGTAAAGGATATTTTACTTTAGAGATCAAAGTAATTAAAGTATCCTTCCATTCTCTATTTAAGAAACCAGTCTTGAAAAAACATTTAACTGCATTCCATAAAACCTCCCAAACTATACTCCAATAGCTTTTATAAAAAGATGAAGTAACTCCATCAATGCCTGGTGCCTTGTTATTCCCTTGCTGAAAAACCAAGATCTACAATTCCTGGACTGAGAATTCCTCATTAAGCATAACCAAATCAGCATTATTTACTTTCTGGATTTCTTCAATAGATGGCCAACCCATCAGTTCACAGTTTCTATGCTGCCATTTCTTCTCAATAAAATTTGTAAACACCTTCTCTATTTGATTTTCCTCCACTTGTAGCGTATTGAACTCATCTTTAATTTGGTTAATTCGATTTCCATTATGTCTTGCTGATGCAAAATTCTGAAAAAAAAAACTTGAATTAATATCACTTTCCTCATGCCATTTCACTTTAGCCCTTTGATTCCACCAAGTAGACAACTTCCTCAATGTAACATTCAGTTCATGCACTTTGTTCCTTAGCAAAATAAGATCATCAGCATTCCAGTTAACATCACAAGCTTCCCTATTTTGAAGATCAAGAATTTCCTTCTTCAAAGTTTCCTTCAATACATTCAAGTTCTTGAATTTATTTTTATTCCAGAAAAACAATGCCTTCATCGTACGTTTGAGGTTCCTTTGGAGTATACTATATTCATCACCATAATCAGTCTTCATCCAAGAGTTATAAACAATACTCTTTGCAGCTGGATATGATCTCCAAGTGTCCTCAAACTTAAATACTTTAGTCTTACCATGTATTTTATCCTTCATACTTAGAACAATTGGACTGTGATCCAATGCTACTCTAGCAAGATGCTTGATTGTAGCCATTAGAAGCATTTGAATAGCAGCTGAATTCAAAATACATCTATCCAACCTTTCCCAAATCCGAAAGGTCCCCTGTTTGTTATTACTCCAAGTAAATCTTGGTCCCATACTTCCAATGTCATGGAAATCAGAGTTCACCATAAAACTTTCATCTCCCTAGGTCCTTTTGAGAACAAGAACCTTTTGCCTCCTCTCTTCTCCTCCTTGTTAATAATACAATTAAAATCCCCTCCAATAATAGAGGGAATTACATCCACCATACAATCCTGAAGTTGTTTCCATAAGATTTCCCTTTCCTTATAATTTCTGCACCCTTAAACCGTGGCAATTCTCCAAATTCCTAAGTTAGGAACTGAGTGACTACCAACAATTACTTGTGAAGATGTCTCCCTTATATCAAAAGACACCATATTCCTATTCCATAAAACCATGATGCCTCCTGAAGTACCCTCAGCAGGGTAATGGTAGTACTCCCAATCCTTCCCAATCAAGTAATCAATATATTTTCTGTCAATGATAGCCAACTTAGTCTCCATAAGCCCAATAAAATAGATACTATGATCTCTAACAATTTCTTTCAAATATAAGGAGGCTTATTTTTTCCTTGCTCCCCTACAATTCCAAAAAAAGAATTGAGGAAATTAAAAAGGTGTAATTGATCTCTCCCCACTCTTGGGGTTCAACCTATCATACCTCTTTTTCTTCTTATGTTCCACATCCACGGGTCCAAGTGATTTTAACTCCTTAGCCAACTTCACCTTGACAGCAGCACTGGAGACACCCAAACCACTGTGATTGATATCAGCATCAATACATTCCCGAAATTTTTCTGTAGTTTTTATGTCTTTAACCTGCTCTACCAAAAAAATTTCTTCAGAATTCTCACTCAGTACAGCGAACCTGTTGGTAACAGCAGTCTCCGAATTCTCCTTTCCAAAAGATTTTCCATGTCCATCCCTACTTTCTGGAGCCAGGACATCGTTTACCTCAACAATATCCTTCTTATTTACCATTAAAGGAAGACTTAATACCTGGTGGAGGCAAAAGGGCAAAAGTGAAGTGGATAGAAGAAGAAGACACCAATTCAAAGTTTTTCCATGCATTTTCTATGGCAAGGTGTAATGGAAATTGGATTATTCAGAATAAAGATATAAATGGATTGTGGATTGAAGAAAAATACTTGTTGAAGAAGTTTTCTATGACTTCTTTAAAGGCAAATGGAATGAAAAGAGATGTATTTTGAGGAATGGTCGTCCCCTACTCAAGAGCTAGATGAAGTTGACAAAGAATTCTTGCTAGCTGATTTCACTAAAAATGATCTGGAAAAAGTTGTTGGTCAATTGGAAGCTAATATTTCACCATGTATTGATGAAGTATCTTACTTTTTTATTAAATATTATTGGTCTATCATTAAAGAAGATGTGTGGAAGGAAATTAACTCTTTTTTTATGTCTGGCAATATGTATTCTTAGTGGAAGGAAACTTTAGTGGTGCTAATCGCTAAGGTGAAAAATCTAACATCTCCTAATTATTGACCAATTAGCCTCTGTTTGTCTATTTACAAGATTATGGCAAGGATGTTGTTAAATAGGTTGAACTGTCTCATTCCTTAAATTATTTCAGAAGATCAGTCTGCTTTTGTTAAATGTCGTTCTTTATCTGAACATATCTTACTAGCCTAAGAGTTATTTAATAAGTTCAAATTTTCTAATCAAAGAAAGGGCTGATGGTAATTAAAATTGATGTGGAGCAAGTTTATGATAGTATGGGGTGGTCTACTCTAAAGCAAGTTTTAGATAATTTGTGTTTTTGAGTTAATTTTCTAATCTTTTACTTCAGTGTGTAGTAGATCCAAAATTTTCCAATTATGATAAATGGCAACAATTCTAAATGGTTTGAGGCTAATAGTGGGTTTAGACAAGGGTTTCCCTTGTCTCCATATCTTTTCATATTGTGCTTTCAATTTGTTTCAGATGCTTTTGCTCAAAGAGGGAGAAGTATTGGTATTAAAGTGGCTCCAGATGCAGAAAAAATTTCCCATTTACTATATGTAGATGGAATTATTATCTTTTTAGAGGCCAAACATAGTTGTGTGAAAAAAGTAAGTAAAATTCTAAAAGATTTTCGTAAATGGTCCTACAAGAAGGTGAATATTCAATAGTCTTCAATTAATTTTAGAAAGTCAATTAAAATAAGTAGTAGAATTGCTCTTTCTAGACTCTTGGGCTTCAAGGTTATTAAAGAAATGATATATCTTGGTATAAAGATTGCATTAATGAGACTGGTTTTCTTAATTTTCTAAAATATGTTGGAGAAAGTACTTAGTATATTGAATTTTTGGGATAATAGGTTTATTTCTCTTGCAGGAAAGTTGCTTCTTTTAAAATTGACATTTATTTCTCTTCCTACCTTTTTATCTACTCACTCTTTTGTCCCTATGGTAGTGTTGATTGATTTGGATAGACTGTGTAGGTATTTTCTTTGGCACAAGAAAGAAGAAAGTAAAGTTATCCATTATGTTTCATGGAAAGTATAATGTAAATCCAAAAGAATGGGAGGACAAGGTGTGCAATTAGTTGTTGCTAAAGTTGGTCCTTTGAGGGCTAAATTTTCTTGGAACTTTATTTCAAATCTTTCTTTTCTTCTTAACAAGACATTGTTATCTAAGTATGGAAATCATATTTGGAACTATGAAATAACGAGGAATTTCTCTCCTACATGGAAGATCATTTTGAGTGGAGCAAAATTTCTTCTTCCTAATATTAGATGGAAGGTCTGTACAGGTTGCAAAATAAATACCAAAAAAGATGTTTGGATTTTGGATAAGTCTATCGAGAAATGGATTATGTTTATTGTGGATGTGAGTAAATATACTAAATTTATAAAGGGTTTTATATGCGATGGTGAGTGGGATGAATCCCATTCATGATCACTTTGAATTGAAAGAATTTCACAACCTAGCTTCCTCTAAATCCAAGTAGAAAAATTTCTAAATTCATCAAATGATTCACTCTTATGAAATAAGAATCAAATCAAAGTGAATCTTGAATAATCATCAATAATTACATGCCAAAAAACATTTCCTCCTAAAGTTACAATGCTAACCAATCCAAAAAGATTAATATGTATAACTTCTAATGGTTTGCGAGTTCTATGATATTTAATTGAATGAAAGGAGGACTTGACTTATTTTTTTAATTGGCATGCATCACACTGGTGATCTTTAGTGAAGTTTAATTTGGGTATTCCTCTAACCAATTCTTTTTGGGAAATCTACCTAAGATATTTTATGCTCTAATGATAAAGTCTTCTCTACCATAACCAAGATTCATCAATGATAGTTTTGAGATAAAAAGCATTAGATGACTTAACATAATTTAAATCAAGAATGTATACATTATTTACCCTATTTCCATACAACACATCAATTCCATTTTAGCTTATAATGCAGCTTGTAGGTTTAAATTTGATATTAAAACCTTTATCACAAAGTTAACTAATACTTAACAAGGTATGTTTTAAGCCTTCAACCAATAAAACTTTATTAATAAAGAAATTGTTCTTATTGACAATGATACCTTTACCTACCACTATTCTAGTGGTATTATTTCTAGTGTCACTTTACCTCTAGACCTAGACTCCAGTGATATGAATTAAGTTGTATCTCTAGTTATATGTTTTAAACATCTTCTGTTTAGGTACCAAATGCTCTCATGAGGGCTTTTATGAGAGCATTTCTACAAAATTATTGATCGTTTGACTTGGGAACCCAAATAAATTTTGGTTCACCTCTTGATAATGAAAATTCAGATGCATGTTTAATAAGTTATGATTTATACATCTTAGGTCTCCACACTAGATGTGTTCTACTACGAATTGTGTAAGTGTGAGAAATATGTCTTATCATTCCACATGAAAAGTATTTAACATCAGAAAAAGGATTTATCAATCTATGTGAGTTATAATGTCTTTTCCTTGATTTTGAAATTGTGTGCTTTTGATCAGGATTGTAAAATTATTCAAATGTATGAGGTGTCTTATTTTCCTTAGAACCTTTTAGTTTTCTTTAAGATATGAGTTTGCACTTTCTAAAATCGAATGATCAACTTTCAACTGATGTTCTCTTTGATCCACTTCAGCTATAAACACCTTCAAATCATTCTTACGATCAATTTAGGATATTTTCAATAAATCATTTCTTATTCAAATCATTAAATTCATCCAACAAGGCCATATGGTTTCTATCTTTGGAAGCATAGTCTTTCCTAAGATTTTCATATTTTTTCTGTAAATTTAAATGCTCGAGGTTTAGATTAGCATGAAATTTTTTAAGCTGCCTATATGCATTATGAATTTTCTCAAAAACTTCAAATAACTCATCATAGTACATACCACATATCTGTAAATTCATTTTTGAACTATTCATATAGATGATCCTTGATCATATTATATGATTATAGGTCGGTTGACTTGTAATTTTAAGTTTTCTAGATAGTTTTCTTATGTTTCAAATATAAGAGTCCTAAAAAATGACACTCATAACCTTACTACAACTTTCTTTTGAGAGTGGCCATTGAGTGTGAGTGTTTGGGAGAGATTATGAGAGATGCACATGGTTGTGTAAAGCGAGGATCTCTTTTTCTTCTTCAAATTTCTATCCATCTCCTTTGGAGGCTTTTGAGAGAAGATCTTTAACATTATGTCACAATACTCTGCCATCACAATGAGGGTGAGAAAGGACATTGGTACTCTGTCATCACCAGGAGGGTGAGAAAGGGCATTAGTACTCTGCCATCCTGAGGAGGGTGAATCAGTACTCTATTGTCACTATGAAGCTAAGAAAGGTAAAGGTTATATACCATCACCAGGAGGATGAGAAAGGATGTCGGTACTCTACAGCACTGGGTTAGTGGAAGAGAGTTTGTAAGGGCTTTTTTTCCTTGCTGTGGGGGCAAAAGGAGAGTCTTTTTGATTTAGTGTAATACTTATTGAAGGAGACTTCAGGGAGTGGACGTAGGTCTAGTTTGGACCAAACCTGTATAAATTTGGTGTTCTTCAATTCACTTTACTTTTTTAGTACTTTTATTTTTTTATGCTTTAAAATTTTGTGGTTAAAAAATTTATTGTAATAATCACATTAT